CTTGTGTCCAGCAGCAAAACTTTAGAAATCAACAACATTTGTATATTCAGAGATTCTGGAGGTTTTAATGAGATAGAAGGAGGAGAAAAATCAAGCATTAATAACACTTCGCTCCTTACAAAACACACATAAAAACACATTAACAACACGATGCATGTTGTTGACAGCTGCATGTCAGTGTTTTTTTAACAAGTATGTATGTATACACATATTTTTGTCTGTTTAAATTTGTAATGCTACAGTCAACAAACATTATTATTCTATTGTATATAGGTCTTAATACATGTTGGGGGGGTTAGTTAAAGTCAATTTGTAATCAATCGACCTAAACATGCATATCCTCCTGTATGGTTCTTTACATAAAGTTGACTGGACTGTACATCTGGTCCTACGTAGATTAGCATGCAGAAAATTCTGCCCTCAATGTGTGCTGAACTTAATGTTGGGAGCAGAGCGTACAAATAAACACAGTGTACCAATTAAACGGCGATGAGTCACTGCACTCTGTTTAGATCCTCCCTCCTCCATTGTGCTGGGAATGAAGTGGTTCCAGCTGAATAGACTTCTATGAGGAGCATGGAGGAAGTGCTTGAAGAGAGAGAGAGAGAAGGGACAACAGCGAGAGAGGGAGGACAAGAGAGATGACAACAAGTTAGAGAGAAAGAGGAAGAGCGCAGGTTGCTCCACAGCAAGCGGTAGACTGTTTGTTTACATGCTGCATGTGTTCGGGCCTTGTATTTCACAGTTGGCGCACTGCCCACTTGTAATGCTCTTCACAGTATAGCAGTAGTGTGATTACATGCCTGGTAGTGCTGCCCTCTCCTTGGCCTCAGCTCCCTCCTGCGGTGACGTTCCTGTTCTGCTCAACGCTAATTAGGAGATGCATGTCTCGTTAACATTCAATTTGAAGGCCAATAGAGCATTGCACCATCCTCTTGCTCCTTTTTCCTCTTTCCCGTGCTGCCGATGCTGGCTGGCCTACCTCCAGTGGCATCAGGGAAGAGTCATGACAAGTGCAGAAAGGGAGCAGAAAATCCTCAAAGCGTACAGGATAAGTAGATCGACTTTGATGGGGTTAACTTTGTAATATTTCATACATTTTGTAGTATTTCATCCCTGAAAGCATTTAGAGAAACACACAAGTCACATAATGCTTGAAACACATTGTGCCTTTAGAGAGATACATAAGACATGAGGCGCAGATACAGATGGTGTTGCTTTTGTACAGTTGTCTGAAATATGTCTAGATTTCATGCTCAGCCAAGCAGACTGTCTGATGACATTAACCACTTGCTTTTGTCCTCCTTATTCACCCCACCTTCCCCTCTTGTCTTATCTCCCCTTCCTTCTCTCCACCCCTCTCATCGCTCTTTCTCCTCTCCTCATCCGTTTCTCCTCTATCCAGAGAGCAGTAGGCCAGAGAAGAGGGAGATCAAGTGTCCCACCCCGGGGTGTGATGGGACGGGTCACGTGACCGGTCTTTACCCCCACCACCGCAGCCTGTCAGGCTGTCCGCACAAGGACAGGATCCCCCCGGAGAGTGAGTTTTCTCCAGCTGCTTAGAAGATGAAAATAAGCACAGAGAGAAGAAAAGTGACAACAAAGGGCAGTGTGACAGTGATAGAAACGCACCACCTCTCCTCACTGCAGAGTTAGACAGCACAGTATATTCACAGTACCAATTTAACCAAGATTTTATGAGGTTTTCCTAAAGTTCATGTTACTGATATTCACCTTTTTACATTATGCTGATAGAGGTTACAGTAAACACGTAACAAGTAAAAGTTGACAGTTAAAACTACCAAACTGGCTACCAAAATTTAAAATAGATGTTTGGAATTGGTTCTCATACGCAGTGGTAGTGCATTTTTCCTGCTCAACCTCATACTGTGCATGTAACTGTAAAGATACTTCCATTACACAGAGGCCAACTAACTGTAGCCATGACCACAGTCTATTAAATATAGACAGGTTCCCTGCTTTTCTGTGATTAGGGTTCACTTCATATTCATTTATACTTAGGGACTGTACTAAAAATATTATACAGGCCAGAAAAGGGGGAAGGGTTTTTATTTTTTTTGCTGATGGTAAGGTAAGGAGCTGGGGATGGTCTGTATATTTTTCCTCATCTCAAATTGATATTTTTATTTACATTTATTGCAAAAGGAAAAAAAGAAGCACTGAGTTGGCCATGGACTTTAACTCGTGTTTTGATATTTGACATGGCACTGCTTGACACGCTATTTGGACAAAACAGACCCCTTTAATTGGTTTAGTTTTGATGGAAAGTCAGACACCTGTCCTCATACATATCGGATGATAACATCTTCTGATCTGATACTTTTTTTTAAATAATTTTGAATCTTTGGGTGGGCCAGAGTAGCTGGAATATTTACCATTTCACCATTTTGTTATGTTTGCCACTGACAAAAGGAAATATTTATAATGCTGGGGGCTTGCTTTTTTTTTATAAAAAGGATTTCATTGTTTCAATTGGATTGTGGATTTCTCTCACCGAGTGATTGTGTGTGTCTTCTCCTCAGTTCTGGCCATGCATGAGAATGTGCTGAAGTGTCCAACTCCTGGCTGCACCGGTCAGGGCCATGTTAACAGCAACCGTAACACACACCGAAGGTATTCATACACACATTACAGTACAGTATCTGTGAACATCTGTATGTGTGTGTCTGACTGTCTGTATTTCTGCAGACGAGGGTGTCATGCACAGGGCTTGTATTTCCGTTTATGTATTTGCGAGTTTGCATATTAATGTAGGCAGGACATTGAATGTGTCAATCCATAGCAGTGGGATGCAGATTTACATGGTCAGCAACATGCTCTCATATTGATATTCATCTTCTTTGTCTTCCTCCATCCCTTCAGTCTGTCTGGATGCCCCATTGCTGCTGCAGAGAAGCTGTCCAAGGGCCATGATAAGCAGCATCTCTCTCAGCCAGGCACAGAGCACCTCAAAGGTTGTCACAACGACAGGGTGTTAAGGTGGGTAATCAAAAAAGTATTCAAATATATACCTATATATATTATATATAAGTATGGAGCCAGAATGATGCCACATCAGAGAGTTAAATCAATGTTGTCAGTTATTTTTCCAACTGAGAAGCTACTGTTACAAGAGTTCATGCAGTATATGGAAGATTAACATTGCCCATACTGCTGTGGTTACATGTCAAAGTTAGCTTCAGCTTGACAGTATATTTTGGTTAGCTAGCTCACCACACAGTCTTCTCATAGTCAGATGTTGACAGGTTTTTTGACAAGACGTAGTATTCAGGCGCTACAGTAGGATTGGCCAGGCATCCATGTTCGTCAGGTGACAGAAAACGTATTAATAAAACTTTATACTGTACGCAGTATACAGATACAGATAAAGTCGAAGACTAGCTAAAATGGGACCCCATGTGAGAAAGTTTTTCAAACTTAGTTGACTTATTATTTATTTTTATTATTCTTATATTCAATTTTCAGTTGCAGTTTGATTAGGTTTAGGCAACAAAATCTTGATAAGGTTTAGGAAATTGTCATAATTTGGGTTAAAATAGACAAATGTAACAATGTTAACCACATGTTAAAAAGCCTCTGGCAGAAAACTTCTCCCACGGGCACAAGCATGGCCAATGCTAGTGCTTGAATGCTACGCAGGGCGTGTCTTGCCATGAAAAGCAGAGGGATCCATAATAATGCATTGACACACCCATCTTATTATAACCGTGAGAAAGAAGGGAAATATTTGGTGCGGAAAGTAGTGAATAGATAATTGATTAAAAGAAAGCATTGGAGGTTTAAGGAAAAGTATTACACTTTTAAGTTTCATTTTACACTCCATTTTAATTATTTAACTAATGGCATTAATACTTCACATATTCAGTTTTACTTTTGACTCATGTGAGAATCCTTTAATGCATTTTGTTGGTTTCGGGCCTCCATAAATATGATGGTGAAAGGCAGACTGGGCATAATGAACCTTTTGCCTACATAAAAGCTGTCTCCCTACAATCCAATCCCCACACAGCTGAATCCCTCTCAAGGTTAGCTAGTTTACTACTGAGCCACACAGAAACCACAGAGACAACCCTGACCTTGGTTATTGTGCCCCTCAGGAGAGGTAAAGCCGACCAGTGAATGGCTCAATATAACGAGAAAGTCTTGAAGCATTCAATCTGGCGGTCCAATCATTACTGTCACCTCAAACGCAGAGATCTCTTTATCTCCATTCATCTCCCCAACTGGTCAGGCGCCGTGATCATGGCCAGAAGAATGATAATTAACACAAACCAGACACTGGTATTATGCTCAGTCCGCGCTCTTCCTCATTGGTATTTTAATTAATAATGCAGCTGATAAGCTAATTATGCAAGTTGTAGGGGCATTGCAAGAGGATAGGAAAAATAATTGCTTTCCTTGAGGAAAACCTCATCAGTGGTCGGACAAAGCATCGAGGATTAAAACATAATAAGGTTTGCTTTGTTTCTCCCTCTCAGATTGTTATTAAAATGAGCTTGGTTGTCTGTTATGTGTGGGGGTGAAGAATTCCTCATGCAATCCATGTTCTAATGGAATCCATGTTGAATGAATAAAAAGAGGAAGAATCCCCTGTGATCAGTGGTAGAAAGTTTTTTTTTTTACTGTCATGTAAACCCTCCTCCAGATGTGAGCATGTGTTTTTGGGGTGTCGCTGTGTGAAGGCCGCCCCGATAGCAGCATGACTACAGGCCAGGTCATGTAGCCTATTAATGAGCGTATGGTTTAGAGACCAGAGACTGTGATAAGGGCTTCAGTGAAAAAGATGACGAAGGTGACTCCACTCCCCCTTCTTTCTTCCAATCCCGACCCACCAACCGCTTTCCTCCGTTTTTCAACCCACTCTCCCGCTTCTTTCTTCACCTTTCCTCTTCTCTCGTCCCTCAGCTTTTCCTCTTTCCTATCCCCCGCCTCAACCTGCCTCTCCTGGTCTTCCTGATCGCACAGGTCTGCAAAACACTCATCACGGGGGGCTATTTAAATCAATAATCCATGGCTGTTACACATGCAAATGTGCCCCTCTGCTTGATTTAAAGAGCTTTAATCTGTCCATCCTGCTAAGTAACCAAAGTTTTGCATGTCCTTGAGTCTTCTTTCTTTACCCCTCACAACTCTCCTCGATGTGTGCTCTATCATCGGTTTCACCACTGAAATCAAACACCCATTGTGTTAAATGAACATCTTCCTCCTAATCTTGCTTCTTCCAGACAACAGTTACTGCTATGAACTGATGCCTTGGTCAGACTTTGTTTCAATAACAAATGGGAAACTGTTTGCTTTCTTATATCTCTTTTTGTCTCTTCCAACATCTTCTTTTTTAATTTCTGTTTTATGAATTTTTAGTACCCCGCATTGTTTGGGAACTATTATTAGTTGAGCAATTTCCTCATTCATGTTTTCATCCATAGCAATATTCCCTTCAAAACTGTTTTAGGGAACCATGGGGTCCTCGCTATTTTAAGGGTTCAACTTTATTCGTGTTTCTATTGTATGTCATACTTAGCCATATTTTTTCCGTATTTGCAGTACTTCTGGCTTGTGTGTGTTTTCTTGACTGTGGATTGTTATGGGCTTCTCATTTTCTGTAATCCCGTGTCCGTGGACTCTGCGGACCCTTCTCTTTTGCATTTTTCTTAAATCCTTATCTCTTAGTTCCTATTGAGTACCAACCCTCCGAGACCACTTCGGAAGGGAGCGGTTCTCAGTGGTTATCTCCTCACTGACAAGCGAGCAAGATTTACCGTGCTAAGCAGTCCAGCTTCGTTCTCTTCCTCAAATCTGCTAGAACCCCACTACTGTTGCTTTATCGTTCGAAGTCATAGCTATGGGAGGAATGGCCCCAGATATATGGTTAAAGCTCTTCGAACTTGGCCTACTCGGGCCTACATAAAAACTGGCCCATTGGGACTCGTCAATCGGTTCGCCTCAAATCCCTCTGCGCCGCTGCTCGTGGTAACATCTTGGGACCATTACGAGCTGGTAAGGCAGCAAGTAGACCTCACTTGTAGCCAAGAGTGGGGAGTGAATGGGATGACACTGGGATACATATGAGAAACTATCGATACTAGTTTTATTTAGACAAGCTTAATTAGGACCGCTCTTCAGATGGTTTGTAGCAATTTTGGTAGTCTGATTATTTCTGTTTAAAGTCGCGGAAACAGCTGCGTTTGCTTGCTGCTCTTCCGAACAAGATGCTGACTCTTGACTCTTGTACTGAATTGCCCAGAATATTCGTTTGATGTAAGAAGCAATGGGTTAAATATTCTCTGCTTTGTTTTGGCAAGCATTCATTTCAACAAAAGTCACTCCTTAGTTGGTGAAATTCCCTTATCCAGCTCCTGTAAAGTATGGTT